TCTCCTGTTTTCTTCTAAAAGTTTTATATATTTGCATTTTATCTTTAGGCCTATAATCTGTTTTGTGTAAGATATGAGGTATAGGTCAAGGTTCTTTATTTTTTTTTTTTGCATATGGATGTCCAATAATGTTCCAGCACCATTTATTGAAAAGACTGTCATTTCTCCATTGACTTTCCTTTGCATCTTTTGTCAAAAATCAATTAATTATATCTGTGTGTCTATTTCTGAAATCTCTATAGTGATTCACTGATCCCTGTGTCTGTCCTTTCACCAGTGTGAAACTGTCTTGATTACTACAGCTTTAATAACAAGTCTTAAAATCAGGCAGTGTGCGTCCTCTAACTGTTCTTTTTTCAAATGGTTTTAGCTATTCTGGTTCCTGTGCACTTCCATATGAATTCTAGGATCAACTTCTTGCTATTTACAAAAAAAATAATAACACCACTTTGTTAACCCATGATAGCTGACCCACAGAACTGTGAGGATTGTTTGTGCCGTTTTAAGGCACTAAGTTTGCAGTAATTTGTTACAGCAGAAATAGAAGACTAACAATATGTTTTTCAAGGAATTTTTCCATCATTTCTTCTAAGCTGACAAATGTATGGGCAGAGAAATGTTTGTACTATTTCCTTATTATCATTGTGTTGCTTGCTGGGTCTGCAGTGATATCCCCTTCATTATCAATACTGGTGATTTGTGTCTTCTCTATTTTTTCAAAGAACTGTTTTTTTTTTTTTATTATTATTTCATTGATTTTTCTCTTCAGTTTTTCTGTTTTTAACTTTACTGGTTTTTTCCTCTATTACTTCTTTTTCTTCAGATTTAATTTCTTTTTTCTAGTTTTTTAAAGTTGCCTTTGTTTAAATATAGGTTTACTGCAAGTACGTCATTTAATTTTTAATAGTGGCCATACATAACAATCAGCTTACAGTATTTCCTATAACCCCACAGCTTTAAGCTGGCCTGAGCCAGCTCCAGCACCTCCCAGTGCTCTCTCTTCAGATGTGCCCTCTTTTCCAGGCTCCAGACTGCCTCAGCTGCCTATTCACCATCTCCATTTGAATGTCCAATTGGCATCTCAGTAGAAACACGTCCAAAATCAATGGCCACCAAAGCTCCAGTCTTTGTTCCCACTCTTCCCTCCATCTTCCCCACACATCCATATGCTCAAGGCCTGAAGTCAGGCTTCGTCCTTGGCTCTTGTTTTCTCCCAACCCCATATTCAATCAGTAACAAATCCCTATAGCTCTAACTTTAAAACGTATCTGGAATCTGACCACTTCTTAACTCCTCCTCTGTCACCCAGTTCAAGCCACTTTAGGTCATACCTGGATTTTCCAATAGACTCCTTGCTCCATCCTTGCCTCTGTATAATCTATACACAACACAGCAATGAAGCGACCCTGTTATAAGCCATGTCAGGTCTCTCCTCTGCTCAAAACTCTCCATTGGCTCCCATCTCAAAAGAAAAATGTGAAGTTTCTACCACAGCCTCCATAGTCGCTCCCCTCTCCCCTTATTACCTCCCCAGCCTCACTGCTTGCTGTCCCCTTGACTCTGCTCTGGCACATTGGCTTTCCGAGCTTTTCTTGAAACACCCTAGCCATGTGGCCACCTAAGGACCTTTGCCTCTGCTATTCCATACCCTATTCAGCACTTTCCCAGGTACCCACATGGCTCACTGCCTTACTTCCTTCAGGCCTCTGTTCACACTGCACCTATACTGTATAACCACTTGATCTACAACAGCCCCTAACACTCTGCATCCCCTTACCTTGCTTTATTTTTCTTCATAGCTCTCAGCATTCATGGTCTGTGCCCCTGTACACCTGTTGGGCAGGAAGGTCAGGAATGTGTCCATTCTGTTTTTTAGAATGATGCCTAGCTCAAAGTAACACTAAATCAGATGAGGTGAACCAATGGATGAGCAGCAGCCAAGAGACTGCCTACAACCTTCCCCTTGATCCCTTCCATCAGGATGAGAACATATTTCTTGGCAAGGCTGACAAGGTGCTAAAGGACCTGGCCCACTAACCCTGCTAGCTCTACCTTGGGCCCCCTTGCCCCTCACCCTCCTCACTTCCTCTAGCTGCACTGAATTTGTAGGTTCCTCAAATAGACCATCTGCTCTCATCTCAGGCATTCCTGGTATCTCCTTGGGACTGAAACTTTCTCCCTACCTCACTTGGCCTCTTCTTCAAGCATCCTTCAGGTCTCAGCTTAGCTATCATTGCTGTGGGAGGCCCTGCCTAACCTCCTCAAGGTTAGGGGTCTCTCAGCTCCAGTGCCCCAAGGCCTCCCCCATCACAGTCCATATCACACTGTGATTGGCTCCTCCAAGAAACCTGGGACCACCACCCAGCCCCCCAGCCCTGTCATCCTCCCACACAGAGGACCTAGTACAGCCCAGTGGAAGATCCAGGAACCAACAGCCAGCCAGTACAATACAGAGTGTTGGTCAGTCACCTCCCATTGTAGTCCTTGCCATCAGGCTGAGAGCCCAGCAGCCTCACCTTAGGAGAGAAGTAGCAGTAAGAGAAAAGTAGCCCGTAAGCCCTGGCAGTAAGACGTTGCATCACCTAGTTCTGGTGACTTCAGCTCCCACATTCCCCCCATTACCATTTTTTGCCTAACTGTGGTCACACCCCTTGGCCACAGATTCCCAGGATGGCACACACAGGTAAGGCAGAGATGGGACTTTTCTCAGAGCTGCAGACAATCATCAGGGATGAACTGGGTGAGGAAAGCAGAACCTCTACCCAAGCAGCCTGAGCCCAAACCCTGCTGCCTGTCTGTTGGAGGGTCAGCTTCAGGGACTAGGACAGACCCAGAGGAGGCCAGTGAGAACAAACGGCACACCAAAAGTTGACCTGTGGTCTGAGTATTTGCTTCATGCTCCCTGATGCCCTCTCTGTGTGTATATAGAGGGGCAAGCGGGCAAGAGCTTTCCCACCCAAGCTGTGGGTTGAATATCCCAGCACTGGCCCAGCTCCCTTCACTATATCCCCTAGGCACTCTTTTCTTGGCTCTTAATGACCTCCCAAGAGCTTGTGACCCAAAAGTTGAGGTCTGCCTTCTGCTCTGACCATTTTGTGCAGCACACCTGGGGCAGAGAAGATGCTGGGGATGTCAGGCCTCTGCTCGTCTCTCCTTCCACGGGGACCCCAACCCACACCCCAGATCAGACCCTGGTGGTCTTAGAGACCTCAAGGTCTCTGGGATCACCAGCCCCGGCCTCCACCCACAGGTCCCCACATTCTTTCTGGCCCTCACTCAAGGGTTTCACCTGCTCCAAGGGCTCTGCGAGGGCTGGGCCCAGACCAAATGTGGCCCCAGCCCCAGCCCTCCTCTCTTTCCAGCATATACACCTCCCCTTCCAGCTTTCTCAAATCCTCCTGCAGAGCCTGCTGCCACCAACTCAAGTGTCTTTTGACTTTGGCCTAAGCAAGGTCCTGCTCTGCTGTAGCTCCTCTGCCCTCAAAAGGTGTCAGGACTCCACCCTACTGCCTGTCGAATTAAATGCTGTCCCCTTTGAGCCACACACTCAAGGCCTTTCTTAGCATGGTCTAACCCCCAGCTCTGCACCATAAGCTTCTTGACCTCAGGCAGATCACTTAGTCTCCCTGAGCCATGATTTCTTCATCTGTTTATCTCCTTCAAAGGCTAGTGAGAAGGTTACTAGTAGAGGCAATGAGTGCCCAGATTCAATCCCCATTGTGCCCAAGCTGTTGAGGCTTCCAGCCTTTGGGAAGCATCAGCCTGGGGCTCTTGCTTCCCTCCTGCCCTCCTGAGAGGGGCTCTGCACAGGCCACAGGTCTGCTCCCAAGCCTCCTGGGTGCTGTGCATGAGGTGGGCAGGAGAGGATCTGAGGCTAAGCAAAGGAGGCCAGCACTTATCCCGTGTTTCTCTGGACCTCAGTTTTCCTCCTCAGCCCAGTGAAGCTGGAATTTCCACATCCTAGGCCTGGAGGTAGGGGGAGGAGGGCCTCCTCAGCATTGGCCTTCCCAGCTTTACCTCCTGGAAGCCAGGAGGGGCTGCCTGAGCAAGCAGGAGTGAGCCTCTGGTGCACTGGAAAGGCTGAAAAACAAACACACCAGAATCCAAATCAGGAAAGCCTAGAGCCCAGGGTTGCCATGGAAACCTGCAGCAGGCTCTCAGCCTGGTGCTCAGCCTCTCTGAGGTGGGGGCCAGGACTTGCCAAGCTCAGTTGCCCCCACTTTCAAGGCTTCCTCCTTGGGCTTGGCCCACCTCCAGTGCAGAGGTGAGAGGTAAGGGCACAGGTCCATTCCACACCTACCCACAGGTACCTCTGCCGTGTCAGGCGGGCAGGGCAGGCCTAAGCTAGCCTAGGCTCCCAGTGGTAGCTTTAGCAAGATCCCTTCTCTTCCAAAGTAAAGCCAACACCCAAGGGTCCTATAGTGCCCTTTCTCCACTGAGGCCCCAGCCCCAGTTGTTCCCGTAGCCACCCAGCACATCAGCTGCCTGGGCTGCACATCATTCCTTATGTGTAGGGTGCTTCTGACCTTCCACCACTGCCAGTGGCCTCGGTGCTGTTACCTGGTCACAGGGCCTAGGGAGCTGTGAGAAGACGCTCCCCGGGTGGGGAAGGGATGGGCACCACTGTACCAGGCAGTGGTGACCTGCTTTATTTGTACTTCTCTCATGTAATGGCACTCCCTTTGACAGATGAGGAACAGGCTCAGAGAAGTTAAGTGCCTTTCCAAGGTCACAGTGCTACTGAGTGTGAAGGGTTTACAACTTCTGAGCCCAGACCCCTCCCATGGAGCTTGTTACTGGGCCCGCCTTAGGCTAAAGATCCAAAAATCCAGCATGTCACCCAGTGGCTACCTAAATACCACTGTGGTGGTGGGTATGTGATCCTGCACTGGCTAAGATACAGATACACTGCAGGCAGACAGACAGAGGCCCTCATGCCTCCATTTAATGGCCAAGTCAGCACTGTCCAGATGATCCCCATGCCCCAGAGGGAAGTCTTCCCTCATGCCTGGTGTCCCAGAGTCCCACCCAGTTGGTGCCCCTCAACCTTGCTAGCAGTGCTGCAGTCCATATCTGGTGTGAGAGAAGCCGCTTCATCTCAGCTCCTGCAGCAAGCTGTTGATAGAGCCCAGCAGTTCCCGGAAGTAGCCCACATCTTCACCATCCTGGAGCTCCAGTGCGGCCAGGGCCTGGTACTCCACCTGCAGGCTGGCCAGCGTCCTGCTGAGCTGTGCATCCTGACGGAAGTGGTCTAGGCAGGTGGCCAGGAGGGCGCCCAGGGTCTGCAGCACCTTTTCTCGGGCATTGTGCTCAGGCAGTGCCAGGAGGTTGGCGGTGATCGCACACCAGCCCTGTTCCAGCAGGCTTGGCAGGAGATGCACCTGGCGGTACTGCTGCAGCTTCTCTGGGGAGGTCTCACGGGTCAGCTCAGCCGCCTCCTCGGCAAACATCTACCATCCATACAGCCAAGTGTCAGGACGGGCAGTGGGGGGTTGGGAGTTGGGGAAAGAACACATACAGCAGTCAGCTCACACAAAGCTCACGCTGCCTGTCAAGATTCCAACCCTGGGGCCCCACCCTCCTTCTCCATCCTCTTGGGGCCTCAAAGGACCTACAATGGGAAAAGGCAACTGGGTTCATGGTTCACACCTGCTCACCTACTCATCCATATGTCCACCTACCTGTCTGTTTATCCATTCATCCATCCACTCATCACAAATAGCCCAGTGCTGGAGAAACCAAGATAAAGAGATGGTCCCTCAAGAGGGTAAAAGTAACTAAACAATTCCTAAATACACAATGCATTGAATCTAACCAGGGCAGTGTAGGGGTAGACAGTCTAGGTTCAATTCCTGCTCCATCACTGACTAGCTCAGTGACTGTGGGCTGGTCACTTAACCTCCCTAAGATTTACACAGCATTGTCATCTCTTAGACTGAATGAAACAATGAACATGCAAACAATGCCCCCTCAACCAGTACTAACTATAATAATAAGTATTGTCACACTCCTCATTGTTGTCCTCACCTTCATCATCACCATCATCACTACTACTGCAAATTCACTTCCTCAGAGGAGGGAATGACTTGCTATTAGGGGGTAGAGGATAGAAAGAAGGTGATATTTTCCCAAATCTTGAGAGGTAAAATGGGGAGTTGTCCAAATGAACAAGGGGGGAAGGCCACCCATACAAGGAGAACCACACAATAGGCCTGGGCCTGCCTCATCTTTGAGGAAGGGCAGGTTGTTCTGGACAATGGAGTGTGGGGGCCTGTGGGCCAGGCTGGGGACAGAATGCACAAAACCCTGGATACCCTTCCAAGGGCTTGGCCATGTCTGGAATGTGCAGAAACCCAGCCCTATCAATCCAATCATGAGGGGAACCAATTCTAAAGAATACCCCTTAAACGCGACAAGCAACCAGCTTGTTTCAGTGTCAGAGGGAGGCTATGCAGAGGTTAAAGATGGAGTGTCCCATATCACTGCACTGAATGTGCCTACAAGAAGAGGGAATCCCTGCCCTAATCCCAGGGGAGTACAAGGTGTGTGGAGGCCTGGGAAGGCAAGATCGAGGCCCAGGGAAAGATCAGGGGCCACAGTGGACCACCTGAAGAAGCCTCTGCAGCACAAAATCTGGGCTTAGCCCCTTGGCACTGGCCTCAGACCCTTTGTAGCCTGGCATTTCTGATGATAAAGGGTAAATCCCTTCCCTGGGACGTCAAGATCCAACCAAATCTGGCCCCTGCCTGGACCTGGCCTATCCCCTCTGCACACGCTTGCTCTGTGCTCCGGTCGCAGTAACTCCTCCCTGGAGCCTTTGCAGATGTAGTTCCACTTTCAGAAACTCTCCCCACCCCACCTGCACACCACAGATAACTCGATCCACTCCTCAGATCTCAGTGTCCCCAGTCACTGATTTCCAGAAGAGGGACAGGGCTCTTTCTGGTCTTGGTTTACAAGCTCTGGGGTGATCTGGATAAGTGTCTGCCTGGAAGCGCCAGGAGGGCAGTGGCTATGGACTATCTCCCCAGCACCTGGCACAGCATCAGGCAGCCTCCCAGTGATGCCATAGAAGGAGCACTGGCAAGCAAGGAGCACTGTACTCACGATCCACTGGGCATCCCACCTCTGCAGGAGCCCCAGACTGCCACAGAGGTCCTATCACGGGCCAAGGAGGAAAGATAGAAATGTCTGGGGCCTGGCAGACTACAGAGGCGTGATCCAGGGTTCCCACAGTCTGAAGTTGGGCCCACACTCTCCATGCAGTTCAGCTGCTATCTTTCCACACCAACCATGCGCTTGAGATGCATGCGGCCCAGGGGTCATCCTGACCCACCTCTCCCTGTGAGCAGCTCTGGGCCCACCCCAGTTTGGCTAATTCTCTGTTCTTTCTTAGGAACTGCAAGAATAGAGAAGCCCTGGCTGCCTCAACCATGAATCCTAAGGCTCTCTGGTTGAGACTCTGCCATTCATTGGCTGCCCCACTGCCCCATTGTGACAACACCCTAAGGCTCTCAAGGTGAGCTCCTGATTCCAGCTATCAGGGGAGTGCCTGGCAAGAGCCAGTGCCCTAGCACCCTTGACACCCATGCTGAGCAGCAGACAGACACAAACCCAAGACACCAGAGGAGAAAGATCAATCTCTCTTAGGAAATGGCAGGCCAGCGCACACGTCCCTCCCCCAAGTTTGCTGGCCCTTCTGAGGATGCTGACTGTGCCCAGGTTTCATTAATTGGATCTGAGCACCACATGGCTGCCTGCTGTTCTGAGAACTGGGCTTCTGCAGCTTGGACCAAGAGAGACGGAAACAGACTGAGAGACAAAACGGGCTGAGAGAGACACAAAAGAGCAGAGGGCAGATGACAGAGACAGACCTCTGCTCTGGGAGGGAAGGCTGGGCTGAAGGGATGAGCAGAGTGGGGGGTGGGGGGGTGGGTAAGAGAGCCTCGGCCTTCCACACTCAGCACAGTCCAGCACTGCCAAGCCTAGCTCCACCAATCAGCACGCTGCGTCTCTGTGGGGAGTGTGGTCCGAGAGAAGTGATGAGAAAGCCCAGCCAAAGCTCTCTGCGCCAGCTGAATTCATAATCCAGGCCTGGCTAGTTTTACTCTTTAATTAAGACACTTCTTAGGATTGCAAAGACTAAAGTGGGCTGGGCATCAAGTCTCCTGCCAGCCATCAGGCAACTGAGGTCCCTTGGGTTCTTGAGAGCAGCCGTTCAGAGCCCCTGCATGGAGGCAGAGCTCCCAAAGGAAGCTCCTTTAGGTTTCTAGAATCTTAAGAATCAGCACCATTCCTGCCCTATCTCCTTGGTCCCTGGGCTACTGTGACAGCCTAAAAGCTTTTAAGTGGTTTCCAGGCTCAGTTGCTCCATTCCACCTGCTCTCACCACCCCAACTCGCTATTTCAGCCAAGTGACCTTCCATCTCCATGAAAGGCCTGATCCTGGCTATTCCTGGCTTTCAGTCATGCTGGTCCCTCTTGCCTGACCACTATCAGCACCAGCTGCTGAGCTGGCCAATCTGTTTCCAGACCAGTCCTCAGGTTTCAGTTTAGCAGTCCCTTCCTATAGAACAGCCTCCCTGATGTCTCAGGCACCTGGGTTAAGGACTGTCTGCTAGCCCCGTCCTGCCACGTTTGCTCAAGAACACTCAGCTATGAGGAACAGAAGGATGGATGGACAGATGGAAGAGACCAAGGCCAAATGGCCAGAAGCAAACACAAAGTAAAGTGATGGGGAGAAAGAGTAGGTCTGGGCACTCACCTTCTCAGTGATCAGGTCGTACAGCAGGGTGACCACACGCACAGCCAGCACCTCTGTGTCCTGCGCCAGGCTCCTGAGGACCTGCAGCCCTCCCAGCTTCAGGAACTGCTGTTGGGCATAAGGGAAATGCCGCAGCAAGGAACACAGGGCAAACAGGACCTGACAGGCACAGATTGAGGGCCAGGTGAGAGGCTGCACTGAGCTGGGCCTGCCCCAAGGCCCAGAGAAGGCAGCTAGAGGTGCCCCAATAACCCCAACGCAGCCTCCATTCTCCATTCTCCCTGACCCCACCCAACCACCTCAGGTACATCCATCCATCCATCGATCCATCCATCTCAGAACCCAAGGCTGTGAGAGCGGGAGGGACCTCAGACACTTTGAACAGCACCCAGTGGACAAGTGGTGATAAAAGAAAGCCCAGGACAGAAGTCAGGGTGGGGGGCCCCAGGTTGCACCACTGCAGCTGACCCCAGACCCCAGACCCTAACACGCTGCATTGTGCTGCTACAGCTGAGTCTGACCTTGTGGAGCAGTGACTCACTTTGTATGGCTTTTCTAGCCCCAGACTTTGTGGCTCCCACCAAATGACTAGGTGGGTATTTGCAAATGCAAGGTGCTCATGGCCCACCAGGGTATTGGATACTTGCTAATAATGTAAACAAGATATGTAGCTCCCTTGTGGAGGTAGGACTGTGCAAATAAGGTATAAGTAACTCTAATGTGGGGATTGGTCAGTTCTGTCATTCCACTAGGCATTAAATGAACCCTCCCAGAGGCAGAAAAGGGGACCTCACTGCCATTGAGAGAGAAAAACCAGGAGTGGAGTGTGTCTGTCCTTGCACCTGAGATCCCTGTGCTGAGAGATGGTGGCAGAGAGGCTGTGGTAGCAGAACTGAGAGACCAGCATGAGAGAGAGTGGCAGGCTTGTCAGCCCACAAAGCAAGAAAGCCAAATACCTTTGGGCAGGAGGCATGCTGGCAGAGTAGGTAGGGTGCACCTAGTTGCACCTGTCACCAGAACTAAAAGAGTTTGTTTTCTAATTTTTATTGTGATTTGGGCCAAAGTTTACAGAGCAAATTCACTTTCCATTCAGCAGCTCACATATACCTTGTCTCATGACACTGCAGTTTCCCACAGTGCTACATTCTCCCCTCCCACTTCCTCCCCATAGTTACCTATTCCCTGTGTCCTTCCCTCCCATGCACTCCCCCCACCCTCGGACTGCCTCCCTGTGTAGACACAGCCCCTCTATTCTTCCATGATTGATCTCTCCAAGGAGTATAGCTACCTAATGTAAATGTTCAGCTTATATACCTGTCTTTTGTTTGGCTGGAAGCCATGAGAGTGGGTTCAACTGCAGACATGAAGGGCAGCTAGGGGCCATAGTCTCAGTGATTCCATCAGACTCTATCAGACCAGTAAACCTGTTTTTTTTTTTTTTTTTTTTTTAATGATTTTGAGTTTTGCTCCACATTGTTCTCCCACTCTATCCAGGATATCCTATGTGGATCCCCCTCTGAGTGGTTGACAGTGATAGCCAGGCACCATCTAGTTCTTCTGGTCTTATAGTTGTATAGGCTGAGGGTTGCATAGTGTACCAGTCGCTTGGACTACTTCTTTCCATGTGTCTTTGGTTTTCTTCATTCTTCTTTGCTCTGGACGAGGAGAGACCCATCATCGCATCTAGATGGCTGCTTGCAAGCTTTTAAGATCCCAGTTGCTACTTGCCAAAGTAGGAGGTAGAACAATATTTTTGTGTAGTATGTTATGCCAATTGAACTTGCGGTTCCCTGCGACTATGGTCCCAAGCCCACAGGTCCAACTACTCGCTCCCTCTAGGTAGCTGGCTCTGGCCAAGAAGTAACTACAACCTTGTCCCTTGTCACAGAGCTAAAAGATCTTTCTAACATTTGCCTGAGCATGGCAGAAGCCAGGCCAAGAGACAAAGGGCTAAACAGAGGTGTGCCTATAACCTTAGCGGAGAGAAGACTGTCCTGATCAAAGAATTGTGTCTTAAGCACATTCCTGAACCTGAATTATAACCTGTTACTTACTTCCCTAATAAACCCCATAATCCTAAGTATAGTCTCTGAGTTCTGTGTGGCCACTGCAATGAATTATTGAAGCCAGCAGAGAAGTAGTGAGTACCATGGAAGGGATTGTTGGTGTCAGAATTAGTAAAAAGGCTGGAGGGTGGGGGCATGTCTGACCTCAGGAAAAAGCCTTGGGCTGTTACTGTTGATTTCTCTCCCTCCCTCTTATGAAGTTAGAGGAGGCCAGAAGATGCCATCCCCTATGCCTTTTGTGCAGACCTCTACCCCACATCCCCCAGTGGATGACACAAAGGTGACATGCACTGCTGCTATGAAAATGGGTTCCTTCCTTTCAGATTCTACAGGTTTGTTGGGGGCTGGGAGGAGGTGGGGGTAGAAACGTACCTTCTTCTTAGTGGCAAGAGGCTGCTCAGTGGCCAAGATGACCAGCAGCTTTTGCAGGGCTCCTCCTTCAATGGCCTCCACCTGGACCTTTGGGTTGCTGGAGGAGAGAGCAGAGGAAAATGTAATCTCGCACCTGCTCACCAACTTGGGGGTGCTGTTTCACTCTCCCCAGCTGAGGAATCAGGTGGTTAGGGAGCTGACACCACACCACCCATCTTTGAGAGGAACAAAGGACACAAGGGAGATCCTATTCAAACAAGTTAGAATTTAGCTGGGGAAAGTTCAGTTGGTCTATGTTGAGACCAACTGGTATGGATCTCCCTGGGTACAACATCCCATGGCACAGAAGATAGGACCAAGGACACCTCTGCCAGCCTCCCATTCCCCAGCAGCCAACGGTCTGGGGCTGACCTTGGAAAGTAAATCACCTCTACCAAGTCCTTCCAATGCCAATGTCAGGATCCCTCCTGTGGGAAGTCTTCCTCAACACACCCTAAGGCAAGGTTGGATGCTTGCTCTTCCAAGATCCAAGGTTAAGTCACACACTGGGCACTATTACTAATGGGTCCAGCTCCCCTCTGGGTTAGGAGTTCCTCAGGGGAAGAGGCAGGGATCCAGTCCTCTCCGCTCCTCCCCTGGGAAGACCAGAAGGTCTGACACACAGACAGCACCTAGTAAACACTTGTGTAGGAAGTATGCAGGAAGAAACCGGCATGGTACATGGAGTCTCTGAATACATGAGCAGATTCAAAGCAGGACTAATCCACCTGTCTCCCCATCACAGGCTACCCACTCTCTGACATTAGCTACAGTCCTTTTCTCTGTCCCCATAGTGCCTAAGGCATTGGACTGCTAACCAGAAGGTTGGCAGTTCAAACCCATCAGCCACTCCGTGGAAGGAAGACAGGGCAATCTACTTCCCTAAAGATTTACCGCCTTGGAAACCCATTGGGGGTTGCTATGAGTCAAAATCAACTTGATGGCAGTGCGTTTGGTTTTGTTTGGTATATTCACAGCAATTGGCACAGAGCCTGCCCCACAGTAGGGCTCTGGACAGTAGGGAATGAACCAATAAACGTGAAACCCAATGCTGCCTCTGGGACTGCTCTCCCATTCTAGGCTGGCGATAAAAACATTTTAGGACCAGCCCTCCCACTGAGAGGATGGGGTTGGGTTAGGGGAGCTGGAAGGAGTGACCTCCATTAGGGCAGGGTGCCAGGAAGGAGAGGTGGCTCAGAACCCAAGCAGGAGATTCTTTTGCTGGCTTCTTGCTTCCTAAGAGCAAATTAGTGCTCAATTAAGATCCAAGTGCCAAGCACAGGTACTCCATGTGCTCGGACTTTCAGGGAAATCGGGAAAGCCAAGGCTTCCTGGATGTAGCAGCCCACCAAAGAGGTTGGGGGTGGGGGAAGTGGTGGCAGGCATGCAGAACATCTCAGGCCAGTGGCAAAATGGAGGAGCCAGGTCAGAGAGGAAGGGGCACTAAAATCAGTGGCTGTCACACCCACCCAAACAAACCACAATGGGCATCGAAGTCCCCACCTGTCTCTGGCTGCCTAACCTTAACAAGGCCATAAGTTTCCTGAAGACCCATGAAATACCTGTTCCTTCTGGTGGTAGAGTGCCTAAGGCATGTGACTGCTAATCAGAGGCTGGCAGTTCAAACCTACCAGCCACTCCTCGGAAGGAAGGTTGGGCAATCTACTTCTGTAGTGATACTGCCTTGAACCCAAGGAGGGGTCGCTATGAGTAGGACCCGACTCCATGGCAGTGAGTTTGGTTTTTTTGATTTGGTTCTAACCCCCAGCCTTGGCAGGATGGTCTCACAGCATCCTGGAGAGTAAGGCAGGTGTATGAAAGCAGGGAGGAGACCACAGGGAGTAGGATACTAGTGAGAAACCCAGAAAAAGGGGAGGTAAGTAACAAGAAAGACTGTACTCTGTGCTGCTGCCTGCAGGTGAGGACCTGGCAAATAGCACATGCTCCATTAAGCCTGGCAGGATGGAACAGTGACAGGTCTGAGACAGTCTATTCTAACCAGGGACCTACTCCAAGGTTTAAAGCAGACTGGCACTCTGAGCCACAGTTTACCCATTGAAAATGGGTGGCTCCTCCATTCCTCTGCATCGAGAAAGAAAGTTCAGGGGTGCCACTTGTCCCACTGCAACTCCACCTTTGTGTCTGACAGTTGCCTGGAGATGGTTGACCCCTGGGGAAGGGAGGCTGACAGCTCTCTCCATAGGCAGTTGGCTGCGATGTGGGAGGCTGGTTGCTGAGCCTCCCCCTGCCCCAGTGACTTGAGGAAAGCAGCTGCCTCATCAAAGCGTGAGCTAATTAGGGCCGTCTCTGCTATCATGTGCCTGAGGAACGCTCATCCGAGACAGACAGGGTCTAGGAAGAGATGACGACCATGCTGAGAAATTCACAGACGTCAAATGCTGCCTCCCAAAGAAGAGAGTCAGTGAGGCCTGGTCGCATCTGCCTCCGGGAGCACCAGTCAGGAGCCCCAGCATTCACAGCCCACAGTGAGAGGGCCCTCTGAGGTGGCACATGAAGCTGCATGCTTGCTTACAGGTCTGCTGGGAATGAGGTCCAGGGAAGTGAAAATCACCCAGCCAACCCTCGAAGACCAGATCATAGCCCAGGAATGGAGGGAGTGTCTAAGGAGCACTGATCCTGAGCACACTGGGTCCAGAGACCACCATCAGGCCTCCCTGGGCACCTTCCAGGGCAGTAGCCCTGTCACTAACACAGACAGTGTTGGACAGGGGGATCAGAGTTGGCATGTTGAAGCCTAGACCCTGCCCACTGAAGTATCACCTGGTAGAAGGTCAAAGAAGATACAAACACCTAAGGAAAGCAAGCACAAACAACAAGAAATAAACAGGGGCAAAAGAGGAGGGTACAGACTGTGTCACCAAATCCCTGGGATGTCCAGAGAAAGAATAAGCTGACTAGGAGTAAAGAAAAGATGTCAAAGGCCTTTTGAAGATAGGAACAAGATGGCTTTCCTGATACTTCTTGCTGGCAGTAGCCCTAGTGGGGGTTAAAGAGGGCCAGACAGCATTTGGTTCCAGAAAAGATTCAGAAGCAAGCTACCACCTGCTAGTTGTTCAGAGAAGACCCACAAGGTAGGACAGATCCTTGGGGAAGCTAAGCACCTGCTCTGTGCTCCCCAACATTCATGAAGATAGGAGCCACACATATGAAATAGACTGTACCATAAATAGAGGGTCAGCAAAAAAGAGAAAGACCCTCAACAAGATGGACTGACACAGTGCTGCAACAATGGGCTCAAACATAGCAACAATTCTGAGGATGGCGCAGGACCAGGCAGCATTTCATTCTGTTGTACAAAGGGTCAGAACTGACTTGATGACGCTTAACAACATAAGATTGTAATGTTAGGTTTCAGAGTGAATAAATGAAGGGCTATGTAACTTTAAGTCACACCAGAGATGGCTCTGAACCTAACCTCTCTGGGGGTTCAGAGAAAGAAGGAAGTCTGGGCTGGAAAAGCTGGGAGGGCTGCACAGGACAGGGGAGGCTACATGAGCCCTGGAGTACAGGTAAGGGGAACAGCCCATGGACAGGAGGAAGGGAAGGTGTTCAGGAACAGCATAAACTTGTGTGGAGAGGCAAGGAGACCACTCCTCAGGGCATTGCCTTGGATGTCATGGAAAATAAGGATGAGAGGTCAGGAGGCCAGGCTGGTCTCAGTGCAAAGGAGGGCTGCTGGCTGGGACTGAAGAGGGAAAACAAAGGACCGAGATCCTGCCCAGCAAGCAGACAGACTATTCAAAGCATGGAGTCACAAATAAGAGCCACAGGGGACCCAGACATCAGAGAGGGTCCAGTAGGAGGGCCATGCCCTGGAAGACAAGCAGGGGGACACTCTGAGCCAAGCACAGCCCCCCTCCAGTTCCCACTGGCTCTGGCTATGTCGCGTATACCTGTATCTGCTCAGGATCCTTCTTTCCTGTTTTCTGGTATTGACATCCCTTCACTCCCTTCCTTTGAGAAACTGCTCCCTCTTCTGCTCTTTGTGATCCCATGTACTAAGCCCAACCCCCTAGGCCACAGGGCTGGCCCATCAAAGCCTTCCCATTTTCTACACTGTAACAATTCAAACTGATGCATTTGAATTATGGTATTGGCAAAGAAAACTGAAAATACCAATGGACTGCCAGAAGAATGAACAAACTTGGAACTTGTCTTGGAAGAGGTACAGCTGGAATCCTCAGAGAATAGCCAGATTTTGTCTCATGTACTTTGGTCATGTTATCAGAAGGGGCTAGTCTCTAGAGAAGGATATCATGCTTGATAAAGTAGAGGGTCAGCAAAAAGGGGAAGACCCTCAGTGAGATGGATTCACACAGTAGCTGCAACAATGGGCTAAAGCATAGCAAATGTTATCAGGATGGTGTTTCGTTCTATTTTACACAGGGTTCACCATGAATCAGAGCCGACTCAAGGGCACCTAACAACAACCAGGACAATGAGGTGGACAGAAACACTCTTCTCCAGGAGGTCGGCTACTAAAAGCCAGGAGCTGTCTACAGCACCCCATCCTTCCTCCCTCCTTCCAGCATAGTCCCCTCGCCATCCCAGTAGAGGTAAGACCATTTAGAGTAGGAGAGAATAGAGTTCAAACTAAGTACACCTGAGAGAAAAGAGCAAAATGACCTTTTTTAAGTTGCTGAGGCCACTTTCCTAAAGCAATAAATCTACCTTCTCACTTGCAGCAGAGAGCGCTGCAGGACCTGGGTGTGTAGAGGGGGGGTGGGGGGGGCGCTGACATACACACACAAGCATGGGCTTGTAGCAGAGCTCAGCCCAGCAGCCCTGGGCCTGCACCCTGCCTGGCCTTTTCTCATTACCAGCTTATATGGCAGAGCCCATACTCACTCTGGGCCCTGGCCCAGGGCTCTCATGGCTCAGGGGCTCCCCAGACACACTGCCCCCTAAAACACCTCTCTGAATGCCACCCCTTTAGAGCTGCCCAGTCAGGCTGGGGACAAACAGCAGATGGATGGTGGAAAAAAGCCAGCCAATGATCCTGATGCCCCTCATTACACGGGGGGTGGCAGAGTCAGA